TCGGCCTATGACGTTTCATTGTGACAATAGTGCAGCTATAGCCCAAACCAAGGACCCAAAATTTCATAAAGGAACAAGACACATTCAGAGGAAACATCATGTGGTTCGTGATATATTAAAGCGAGGAGATATACTTGTGGCTAAGATTGCATCGGAACATAACCTTGCTGATCCATTCACAAAGGCTTTACCAATCAAGATGTTTGATCGTCATATGGAGAACATGGGAGTTAGATGTGATTTGAATTGGCTATAAGTGCAAGTGGGAGCTGTTAGGTTATGTGTGCCCTAGCATAGCAAATTCTAATTTTGGATTGTTAAAGTCATGGTTTCTTATTTGGATATTATTATTAAAGCATTATACAATTAGTGAATGGAATGTATTATTTTTCGATTCTTTATGGAATTGATGGTGTCTGCTTGATTACAAAATATATTTATATATGTATGTAATGGGAATTAATACTATGATATAAATTAGTAATCATAAATGGTTTAAAGTCGGTAATTATGGATGGACATTTAATTAGTTAAGACTTAAACCGAGTCCACGATATATTGAAATATATTGCGAGAGCTGTCGTATGCAATTGCTCTCTATCACAGTCATGGCTTTTTACTCTCAAGCATGAGAGAAGTATAGACTCTTTTATTAATTAATAATTACTTTGATTTGTTCGGCGGATACCTCGGGATCCTTAGATCGACACTTTGGGTAGTTATGTAATTAATAATTAAAGGTCTATATTCTCAATATTTGCATCAGTGCTATTTGTATTTATTTTGTTTTGATTATGGTTGATCACAAATTAAATTCGAAGGCCTTCGTATGTTTTAGACAAATGTTTTCTATATATATTTATTTAATAAATTATTATTATTTTTTGTCAAATAAATATTTTATTGTGATCGAGCTGGAAATAATCAAAGGTAACAAAATAATTATATTAATTATGTTGTCGGATTGATGGCTTTAATTATCCGATAAATAATTAAGCATAGAGGGGTCAAAGTGTAACATTGACTTAGAGGTTATTTACTATTTAATTGGAGTGCAATTAATTTCTTTTAGTGGAGTAGAAATTAATTTATGAATTAATTGAATTGGGTCCATGGTTTAATGGACTGGACCAATTATTAATTTATAGGAATCAAGAAAATAGTAAGCCCAAAAGGATTCTCACCAATAGCCCAAGTTGATATTGGAGTCATGTTAGGATTGAGAAAGTTAAATTAGAGATGGAGAATGATTTATTGTTTCCTTATTCTTATTTTTATTTTGCCTATATATACATGAGTTCATGTATATTTTAGATGTGACTTGAAGAACAAGAAAAAGGAATACACTTTCTCTCTCTAGATGTTAGGGTTTTGTTTTCTCTTCTAAAGGAGGCTACCACCAGCCTAGATTCCAAGGTCATTCATCAAGGCATATTGGTGATTCCTAAAGGGAAGATAATAATCGAACGGAAGGAGAAAGGATCTTGCTAAAGGGATCTACAATAAGTGAGAACATTCACTTTAGAGGAAAGTTCAAAAGGTTTACTCAGACCTTTGATGTAAGTATTCAATCTGTTTATTGAATTATGCATCATCTTTTATTTATCTTTGCATAAAACTTGTCTCTGTGTGATGAATCAAGATCCGTGATTGCAAATCCCTCAAAAGTTTTAAAAACTTGCACGTTTCCCAACAAATTCAACTTTTGGCAGAGCTTAATCTACCCTTGTTAGTCTATTCTATCCTCTCTCTATTCTTCATCTATCAACCTTCTTTTTTTATGAGTAAATTAAACTGTTTATAAAAGAAAAGAACTATACAAAATTTCAAAGAGGTTGGTTGAAGTGGTAAGTCACTTGTCACGTCTATGGTATCAATCTCTTTTTTGTTGGGTAAATTAAACTGTTAATAAAAGGAAAGAACCATACCAAATTTCAAGAGGTTGCCTCAAGTGATAAGTCATTTGTCCAGCTACCTCATAAAGTATGAGGTTTATGATTCGACTACTCTTGAGTACAAACAGTTTCTTTGGAGGAGAAATGTGTAAGTATCAATTAGAAAAAAAAATATATACACACACAAATGGCATGTGGCTATCTTAGTATTTGTAAATAAAAAACAGTATTATATATACAAGGTTTGAAGCTATTTATTAGAAACAAATATACCTAAGTTGACATCCAATAAAATTAACCTACTTTCCTATACGTAGGAGGACTCCACCTTTCTAAATTTGCACTCCAATTTTATTTTTCTTTAGTGTGATGACAAAAAAAAGTCTCTCAGTTAATTAATGTATCATCCCTTATTTTATTATACCATAACTACCCTTTGCACTATAATTATTATTTTTTTTTAACCTTTTTTACTTACTCCTCCAAAAATGATAGTTTAATGTGGCAAAAAACCAATTGTCCTCCCTAAATAGACATATTAAATGCACTAACTAATTTTAGATAAAACTTTCATTTCATCGTCATCTTCTTCACCCTATCGTTTTTGCTTAAAATTATTCTTTCTATAAAATTATTTTCTTGATAAACTGGGTTGCAACTTGCAGGGAATGATTTTGTTTTTCTTTTTTTGCTGTCTTCAATTAATATTATATATTATTATTCTTTCAAAAAAAAAAAAGGGAGAAAATATTTGGAAGATCAATTCTTTGGAGGTAGGTTTTGACATGATACCCATCTCTCTATTTTTTTTTTTTTTTCTTGGTTTTTTTCATTAAGTCATTGTTCTTGAAATTTTATTGTCAAAACGCTTTTCTCATCAACTAGGAAAAAAATTGAAATTAAACTGAAAACACACAATAGGAAAGAAAAATAAAAGAAAAAATTACCATCACCATTAGCATCGATAGTGTTGAATGTCTTATGAAGTTTTGATAGTTGTTACATGTTTCTTGTGCTAATCTTCCATTGTTACATACAAAGATCAATATTAAGTCCTAACCGAAATTAATACAAAGTAAAGTAATAATACAAAGAGATTGGGGAAAGAGTGTAAGATAAATATATATTTCTATAACTGAAAGACTAATTGTAGTATTGGATAAAAAATAATTATTTATTTATAAAATTAGAGATAGAATTATCCTTTCCTTGAAGAGTGGAGAAAGTTGAGTGTAAATATCGCCTATCTACATTAAATATACTCCCCAAAATCTAGGAATAAATTAGGAATCAATATTAGTAACTAAATCCTTCCAACCAAGGGATATTTTTTTCTTTTTGGTATATAGATAGAGGGAAAAACCGAATTGTCTGACAAGGGAACTACCATTTAAGAATAAGAAGCAAAGTATAATAGAGCATAACATAGGCCGCAGCTAACACTGCCATAGAATTAGCCATGAAGCTAAACAAGGCCATTAGGCACAACATGAATTTTAATATGCCATTAGAATAAATTAGAAAGGCAACAATCCACTGAGGTAATTTGACCATGAAGGTCAAAATTTTCCCTTAGTTTAAGGATCATCTGGAGGCTGTCTTGGGAAACGAACTAACAAGCTTTCAAGCTAAAGCAATATCTCTGGAAGCTTTGTTATCTTTCATATTGGAAGAGCTGAGTACAGAACTTGGGAAAAAAAGAGGAAGAGTTGGTTAAAATCTTGTTATTCCTTTATGATCAAATAGTGTACACATGCAGTAGGCACCAGTTTGGGGATAAGCATTAATTAAGTTACTCAAAACAGAGGATGCCCACTCTAGCTTGGGGAAAGGACATAGAAACCATGTACATTCTGAAAGTGAGCCCAAATGTACGTGTTGGCGGGAAGACTGGGTAGTGGAAAAACGAGCGGGAGTGGATTCCAAGGCTGCAAGTGATAGAAGGTTTGTCAAGGATAGGGAGTGTGTTTTGCATAGCTAAAAGTCTTCATCTTTGATTGAACCGAGGATCACCTAATTAACACCATTCTTATAAAAGGAGTAAACATTCTTTTCACCAAGGTGGACAGTCTTGTTTCGAACTGCCATGGTCTTCCCAATAAGAGATACAAGCCTCCATTTTAACCACATCACGTAAAACATTATCTGAATAATATTTCCCAATTGAACAAGGCATTGTTCTGTTACCTTTACTTCACCTCCTTTCTTGAACCAAGATATTTGATATGGCTTTGGATGCGGATGCACCTCTAGTTTCAGCTTTGTAACCATCTCCTTGGAAACTAAAGAATGAGAGTGTGTTTTGAACCAAACTATGTGGTGCCAAGGGGAGGAAGGAAACTGAGGGAAAATAAAGAATATGGTATGAGGTAGTGAGAAGGAATTGAAGGGGAAGCCACAAGAATATGTCTAGGGATTTAAGGAATAATGGAGGGAGGGATGAAGGGTCTCTTAACTTGGGGATGGCTCTTGCTAAGCCTGGGGGATAGCCCATTACCGATTGCTGATAAGGGATCGAGCCAAGGGCGAATCCAGGAATTGTTAATAGGGTGGGGCTAATATTTCTTTAAGTGGGCTAATGGTAGTAATAATTTTTATTTTTTTGGGTTGGGCTAAAATTAGGTATAGTTAAAAAAATAAAAAATAAAATTGAGATGGGCTGGAGCCTTCCCTTGGATCCGCCAGTGTATCGAGCTGACACGAGAGTGGTTTGTTAACCCTATCCACGAGACAGCCAGCTGCATGCTATGAATCAAACCAAATGGGAAGTTCTAAAACCATTGCCAATTCTAACTTGGATTAATGGCCTGGCAAGAGGTCTAAGTTGGAGTAGTTTCCCTCAAATCCAAGAACTATCGTTGAGCAATTTAACTACTAGAAACTGTTGTTTAATCAATTGGACTTTAATTCATTTTGACTGATAGACTGGAAGGTGCTAAATAACTCCAATTGCATGTGTTTCAACATTTCATTCTTTTTCCAAAAACCGAGGTTACAAAATTTCTCACAAATTACCACTTGTTCTGTAGTACTAATGAAGCATGCTTTTTTTAAAAAGTCACTCTTATATGAAGCACTTTAGTCTTGTGCACAAGCATATTTAACTGTTGTTTCTCTCTTCTAGATGTTCCAATGAGGTTGGAAGAGTCTACAATTGGATTTGGAGACCCTTGCTGCAATAATGGTCAGTTTAAATTCTTTGCTATTTTCCCTTCTTTGAATGCTTTTTTAATGGCAAGTCCAGTATGCTTTGGTTTTTTTTTATATTTATTTTAATGGAAAAGACAATGAGAACTTTCCAGTATGCCTTTTTTTAAGGGTAAAGTGCACTAAACCCCTCTGAACTATGCCCCTATTTCAAGAAACCCCTTGAAGTAAGCAAAATCCCCTGAACTATCAATTTGTTGCACTAAATTAGCAACCGTGAAGCAGCCGTTAACAGAAACATAAAGTTACCTTTTTGCCTTTAATTGAACGACATCGTCTTAGTCGTTTTTTGTTGATCAGATGATGATGTTAGAAATTAAACTTTATTATATTTTAAAATGTCTTTGAAGGTCATGGGTGCTTTTTTATTTGGTATTTTATATTTATGTGAGTTTTTTATTGGAGTTAGTGGGGGATATGAGAGTTACAACTAGTAATGGTCATGTTAGTGGGTTAGTGGGACTTTTGCCTACTAAATGATATGTTAGTGGGGTGTTAATTTTCATTTACATTTATGTTTTGAAGCCTATATAAACCCATGCATTGTACTCATTTTCAATCAAGTGAAATAAAAAGTGTTTTCCTTCATTTTTTTATTCTCTTCCAAATAGTATAGTGTTGTGTGTGTAACTAGGCCACTATTTCCAACAAAGTGGTATGAGAGCCAGGTTGTGAGAGAGAGAAGAAATGGCAAACAATTCGGTTCCATTTCAAATGCCTCGATTCACCAAAGATAACTATTAAAATTGGTGTCTCCGTATGAAGGCAATTTTGGGAGCACAAGATGTGTGGGAAGTTGTTTCCAAAGGTTATGATGAGCCAGAAGATGAGGCAACTTTGTCTCAAACCGAAAAAGATGTTTTACAAGCCATGAGAAAGAAGGACCAAAAGGCAGTGATGACCATCCATCAATGTTTGGATGATGAAATGCTACAAAGAGTTGCTAGTGCAGAAAATGCAAAACAACTATGGGAGATTCTTCAAAATTCCTTCCAAGGAGTTGATAAAGTGAAGAAGGTTCGCCTCCAAACGTTACGGGGTGAATTTGAAGCATTGCATATGAAGGAATTTGAATCAATTTCAGATTATTTTTCGAGGGTCCTGGCTATTGTAAATCAACTAAGAAGAAATGGCGAAACCACCATGACTGATACAAGGGTCGTTGAAAAGATCCTTCGGTCGTTGGATTCCAAATTCAACTACATTGTTGTAGCCATTGAAGAGTCAAAGGATTTGGATTCCATGACTGTTGATCAACTCATGGGTTCGTTGTAAGCTCATGAAGAAAAGGTGGTGAAGAAACGAGAAGCTTTGGAGCAAGTGCTACAAACAAAGTTTTCGTTAAACGAAAGAGACGAAAAACATGGAGGAACTCAAAGGAGCCGAGGACGTGGAAATGTACGTGGCCGAGGAAGAGGAAGAGGCCGTGGAAGAGGAGAAAGAAGCGGTCAACACACAACCAACAATGAAGAAAAGGTCCATGACTCACAACAAATAAGAGGTCATGGTAGAGGAAATTACTCAAAGTCATATGGAAGGAGGTATGATGAGTCTCAAATTCAATGTTACAATTGTCAAAAGTATGGTCATTATGCTTCGGAATGTAGAAATGTTGCTAACGATGTCGAAGGAAAGGCTAATTTTGTTGATGAAGAAGTGGAGCCAACTTTGTTGTTAGCATACAAAGGTGAAAGGAGTGAAGAAGATGTGTGCTTGACACCGGTGCTAGCAACTATATGTGTGGTAGCAAAGAGAAGTTCGTTGATATTGATGAATCAATAAATGGCAAGGTGACATTTGGAGACTTATCACAAATTCCGGTAAGAGGGAAAGATAAAATATTGATTCGTTTGAGAAATGGGCATCATCAATTTATCTCTAATGTTTATTATGTGTCTAATATGAAGAACAATATTTTGAGTTTGGGACAACTCTTAGAAAAATGCTACAATATTTCCATGAAGGATTGTAATCTTTCGATAAGAGACCCATTGGGTAATTTGATTGCCAAGGTTCCAATGACAAAGAACCGGATGTTTTTGCTAAATATTCAAGCCGACGAGGCTAAATGTTTGAAGGCTTGTTTTAATGATTTAACTTGGCTTTGGTACTTGAGACTTGGGCACTTGAATTTTGGAGGATTAAAGTTGTTGGCTAAAAAGACGATGGTGAAGGGATTGCCTTTCATTAGCAATCCAAATCAATTATGTGAAGGATGTCTCATTGGAAAGCAATCGAGGAAAAGTTTTCCTAAAGAAGCTACCACAAAAGCTACGGCGCCACTACAACTTATCCATTCGGATGTTTGTGGTCCAATTTCTCCATCATTTTTTGGTAAGAATAATTATTTTTTATTATTCATTGATGATTTTAGCCGAAAAGCATAGGTGTATTTTCTTAAACAAAAATCGGAGGTGTATGGAATTTTTAAGAAATTTAAAGCACTTGTTGAAAAACAAAGTAGCTATGATATAAAGGCTCTTCGATCCGATAGAGGTGGTGAATTCACATCAAATAATTTCAAAAAATTTTGTGAAGAAAATGGAATTCACCATCCTTTAACGGTTCCGAGATCGCCCCAACAAAATGGAGTTGCAGAAAGGAAGAACAGAACCATTCTCAATATGGCTCGAAGCATGTTGAAAAGCAAGGAAATGCCTAAAAAATTTTGGGCTGAAGCGGTTGATTGTGCAGTGTACTTGTCCAACCGGTGTCCTACTAGAAGTGTGTAAAACAAAACACCATAAGAAACATGGAGCGGAAGAAAGCCAAGTGTCTCTCATTTGTGGGGTTTTTGGGAGCATTGCCCATGTGCACGTGCAGGATGAAAGGAGGACCAAGTTAGATAACAAAAGTGAAAAAATGGTATTCATTGGCTATGATGCAAATTCCAAAGGCTACAAGTTGTACAATCCAAGCAATGGAAAGATTGTCATTAGTAGAGATGTTGAATTCGAAGAGGGAACTACATGGGATTGGAACACTCCAAATGAAGATTATAATATTCTTTCAATTTCTGATAAGGAGCAAGAAAATGAAGGCATAGAGCAGCCCATTTCTCCACCAACATCACCTCCACCACCATCAATTCAAGATCAATCAACTCCATCATCATCAAGTTCAAGTGACACACCACCACTTTGCATGAGGAGTCTTTGTGACATATATGACGAAACAGATGAGGTAATGGAAAGGTTAGGTGATCTAACACTTTTTTGTCTCTTTGCGGATTCTAAACCCATAGGATTTGAAGAGGCGGCACAAGACAAAAAATGGAGAAATGCTGTGGATGAAGAAATTAAATCCATAGAGAAGAATGACACATGGGAGCTTTCTACACTTCCAAAAGAGCAAAAGGCAATTGGTGTCAAGTGGGTGTATAAAGTAATGAAGAATGCAAATGGTGAAGTTGAAAAATATAAAGCAAGATTGGTCACCAAGGGGTACAACCAAAAGCCCGGAATTGACTATGATGAGGTATTTGCACCCGTAGCTCGTTTGAAAACAATTAGATTGTTAATTTCTTTGGCAGCCCAAAATAATTGGAGAATCCACCAAATGGATGTGAAATCAGCTTTCTTGAATGGGTTTCTTGAAGAAGAGGTGTATGTGCAAAAACCTATGGGCTATGTTGTAAAAGGGCAAGAAAACAAAGTCTTGAAATTGAATAAGGCTTTATATGGCTTGAAGCAAGCACCAAGGGCGTGGAATAAGCGGATTGACAAATATTTTCAAGACAATAATTTTTCAAAGTGCCCATATGAACATGCTCTTTACTCCAAAGTAAGTGAGAATGGAGATATATTTTTATTTTGCTTGTATGTGGATGATTTAATCTTCACAGGTAGCAATCCAAAAATGTTTGAAGATTTTAAGAAGGTTATGGCTCGAGAGTTTGAGATGACGGACATTGGCATCATTGCTTATTATCTTGGCATTGAGGTCAAGCAAATGAAAGATGGAATTTTCATTCATTAAGAAGGCTATGCTAAGGAAATTCTCAAGAAATTCAAGATGGAAGATTGTAAATTGGTGAACACGCCCATGGAAGTTGGAATTAAATTGTCAAGAGATGAAGATGAAGAGACGGTGGATCCAACATTTTTCAAAAGTCTTGTTGGAGGCTTGAGATACTTAACATGCACAAGGCCGGACATATTATTTGCGGTTAGGCTTGTTAGTCGGTTTATGGAAAAACCCACTATAACTCATTTCAAAGGCGGCTAAGAGGATTCTTCGTTACATCCAAGGTACCCTTGATTTTGGGTTATTCTATTCATTTTCTAATGATTTCAAGCTTGTGGGTTATTCTAATAGTGATTGGGCCGGAGATTTAGATGATAGAAAAAGTACTTCTGGCTATTGTTTTTTCATGGGAAATGTTGCTTTTACATGGTGTTCAAAGAAGCAACCCATTGTCACCCTCTCAACTTGTGAAGTAGAATATGTTGCAGCCACTTCATGTGTTTGTCAAGTAATTTGGTTGAGGAATTTGTTGAAGGAATTACACATGCTATAAGAAGAGTCAACGGAGATTTTTGTGGACAACAAATCAGCAATTGCTTTGGCCAAGAATCCAGTGTTTCATGAACGAAGCAAGCATATTGATACAAGATTTTATTTCATTAGAGAATGCATAACCAAGAAGGAGGTGGAGCTCAAGTTCATCAAGTCATAAGATCAAGTTGCGGATATTTTCACCAAGCCCCTCAAGTTTGTAGATTTTCACAAGTTAAGGAGTTTGCTTGGAGTTGAAAAAAAATCAAGTTTAAGGGGGGATGTTAGAAATTAAATTTTGTTAGATTTTAAAATGTCTTTGAAGGTCATGGGTGCTTTTTTATTTGGTGTTTTATATTTATGTGAGTTTTGTATTGGAGTTAGTGGGGGGTATGAGAGTTACAACTAGTAATGGTCATGTTAATGGGTTAGTGGAAGTTTTGCCTACTAAATGGTCATGTTAGTGGGTTAGTGGGAGTTTTGCCTACTAAATGATATGTTAGTGGGGTGTTAATTTTCATTTACATTTATGTTTTGAAGCCTATATAAACCCATGCATTGTACTCATTTTCAATCAAGTGAAATAAAAAGTGTTTTCCTCCATTTTTTTTATTCTTTTCCAAATAGTATAGTGTTGTATGTGTAACTAGGCCACTATTTCCAACAGATGATGTGTCAATAACATTAGTTAAATCAAATGGCGCCAAACATGTCCTTCTCTCGCGCCAAAATAACCTTATCAATAACATCAGGAAGACACCTACAGTGACTAATGGCGAGATGAGGCTGACTATGCCTTGAACTGACTTATAGCCTTAGGAAGTGAAGGAATTAAATCTAAGAGCAGGTGAGTTAGTTGCAGCAGTGAATGAAGGGGCATTCCTTGATTCTAGTAGGGCAAGAAGGTGAAAGTAGTAGAGAGATTTCCTTGTCACCGGGAATTTCACTTGGAGATGGAGATTTAAACCGGCGAGAATCAAGGACAGAACTGGCGACAGCAAGGAAGAACCGGCAATGCATGGATTGGCGTTGCCAACAGGACGGCCATGACTAGCTGCAGCAACCTTTGTGCTCCATGATAACAGTATGGTCTAATGGATACATTCCGAAAAAAAAATAATAAAAAATAAAAAATAAAAGAGTATGGCTTAATGGATGATACTGAAATGCAAGGAACAACGACCAAGGAACAACCCGGTGAGAGGTGGGCCTGTTCTACAGTGGTAGTAACAGAGGTGCTCGGCGACAGCGAGCTTACAATGACTGTTCGCGATGGTGGCGCTAAACCACAGGGGCATACGGTAGTGAGTTCAATCGAAATGGCGGCCGGCAAGCAAGGATGAACCCACGGGACGACGACGATTGTTCTTAACGATGGTCTCGGATCATAACGGTGGCGATAACGATTGTAGGAGTTGCGAAGCTTCAATGAAGTACGGCAATGGTGGCGATGAACTTGGAAGATGTCAGTGAGTTTACCGATAAGCAATAGAACTGAACTGGATATAGGGATTTGAGAGCCAGTCATCTGAATATGGAGATTTGAGAGCAAATGAGAAGGATTTGCTGAAAATCAATGGCAAACGAGAGAGGATTTGCTAAGACTAAAAATTAGGGCTTCCGGTTCTCTGGTACAATGCGATATGATGAATATATATATATATATAAATGGTTTTTAACAGTCATAAGGGTATATATGGCAATATATATTTTGACCAAGTTACATGGGTCACGTGCCTGCTCCCACAGTTAATTCTCAAACGGCCAACTAACAAAGTCTAAATTTTTGCAACAAATGGAATACTTTATAGGGTTAAATGTATTCTTTAAAGTTCAACGGGGTTTTTTTGAGAAAGAGAAGAAAGTTCAGGGGGTTTAGTGCACTTTACCCTTTTTTTTAATGGTAAGTCCACCTTCCCATTTTAGAAGTCATGTTAGCATTTATTACAATATACAACATTGTGCATATATATCATATTACACACACCATATGCGCATTCCTGGGTTATTGGGAGGGTTAGCACTTAGCCAGGGACGGAGCCAAAAATTATATTCGGCGAGTCAAAAATTATGTTTTGTGGTTTCTTTTTTTTGTTTTGGGGGGGGGGGGGGGGGGGGGGGGGGGCATACACATACAAGAATGATATTTTTTTTAAAGTTGAGGGGGCATTTTTAAAGTTTTACAGAATTACACATAAAAAATGCAATTTTTAAAAGTTAAAGGGGTAATTTTAAATTAAAAAATATATACATACAACAATGAAATTTTTAAAAAGTTGAGGGGGGCACATGCCTCCTCTGCGCCTTAATTGGCTCCGTCCCAGCACTTACACTTGTCAAGTACTCCCAAGATAAGTCATGCTAACACACCTTATTTGTCTACCAATCACCTTTCTAATGATCGACTCTATTAATGACATAGCATGCGGTGCTAACGGCTTCGGCCTAAAGAGATCTAGGTAAATTATGCTCATTTAGCATTGTCCTAGCCATCTCTTGAAGAGATATATATTCTTCCTTTCAAGAATTCCATTTTGTTGAGGAGTCTTAGGTGCCGAGAGATTGTGATTGTAGCGCACAATTTTCATCACAAAATCTCTTTGCGTCTAGGTTGTCAAACTCTCTTCCTCTATGACTTCTAATGGTCTTAATCTTACATTTTTTTCTTTTTCTTTTTGGACTCTTCTACAAAATTTGGCAAAGATTGCATGAGTCTCACTTTTATATGTGAGAAAGAATACCCAAGTGTATAACTAGGAGACAAAAAAAACAACCGAACACCCAATTCTATCTGGAGTAATCATCAACAAACACAAAGACATAAAGTTTACCACCAAGACTAGCTATTCTCTCCGGACCAAACAAATCCATATGAATCAATTCAAGTGGTTTTTATGGAGGTAATGCCTTTTTTTCATTTTAAAGGATGTCTTGACTTGTTTGCCTACCTAGCAAGCACTACAAGTCTTGTCTTTAGAATACTTAGTCTTTGGGAAGCCTTTGACAAGCTATTTCTTAGAAAATCTTGAGATCAAGTCCACGCTAGCATGTCCTAACCTTCTATGCCATAATCAACTATTATCACTAGATGAAATAATTCATTTAACATCTTGAGCATGTAATTCTCATATAAGCATAGTATACAAATTACCATTTCCAAGTGCATTAAATACTTGTTTACCATTTTTTTCAACAATGCATTAGTTTGATTTAAATATCACATTAAATCATTTATCACATAATTGACTAATGCTAAACAAGTTATGTCTTAAACTATCAACAAGTAAAATATTATCTATTGAGAGAGAGGGGTAAAAACATATAGTCTCGACGCCAAATAGCTTGCCTTTGGAGTTGTCCCCAAATATGACATTTTCACCGTCATAAGGCTTAAATGAGGAGAATTTGGAGCAATCTCTCGTCATATGCCTTGAACATCCACTATCAAGGAACCACTTATCCTTGAATGAAGAAGTTGACTTTAAGCAAACCCAGAAGATAAGCTTAAATAATTTCTTCTAATACTCACACCTTCTTAGGTCCACATGAGTTAGCCATTACATAATGATATCGGTTATCGGACTTGTGAATTTTTTTAAACCATGCATATAGGGTTGAAAATGCATTGGGTAGAGAGTTTTTACAAAAAAAATTAATAACAATGGATTTTTAGCGATTTTTTTAATATTATTTAACATAAATTATAATTTATTAATGAATTATGAGTCGATATCGTTATTTAAAAAGTTTAATAAAAATATTTTTACAAATTAGTTAATAAAATACTCAATTATAGAGCAAATGAAAATTCATACAATAAAACCCCAATTGAAGAGTTTTTTTTTTTTTTTTTAATTAAAAAAAAAATTGTCACTATTATGTTGAAGTAAACATGAGATTTTAATTTGATTGATTTAAAGAATCAAGATTCTTTCATAAACATATTCCAAAAACAGTATTGAAAATTAGAATGTATTGATTTAATGTGGTGAGGTGGTGTGACAAAAATAAAAAATTAATGTAGTGAAAATTTGTAATTGGGCATGGGAGGGCCCAAGAGACATGCATTGGGTTAGATAATTGGGCATTCTAAGTTTTAAATTTTTGTTACACTTGGCATTTAAAATTAAAGGACGGTGGAGTTATTTGTTGCATTCACACTAAGAATTGTTAATTTGTAATCTTGCTGAGATTTTGACAGGTTTGGACCGTCTCGGTTTGTTGTTGAAGCAAAAGTTGCCCTCTGTATTTTGGAAAGTCGCTGAAATGATAGGTAAGGAAGTGGCTAATTAACAACTTTTTATGTGCTTGGACATTACTACAAAGTATAAATTATACTGCAACTGTGTCAAATTTCTTTTAATTTCAAATTTATTAACTTTACACAGTACCGCAGTTAGAGAACATCCGTGAGACAAAATGGAAACATTATCACGCAATTCGGCTTGTCGGATATTTATGCATGGAACTTGAATTTGGACCAATAAGCACCTTAGCTGAAGATGTAATGCAAAACGCACTAATAACTGCAGCAACATCTGGAATTCCTGAAATTGTTAGCAAGATCATTTTAAGATTCCCTAAAGAAATTCATTATAAAAACAACGAGGGGCAAAACTTATTTCATATTACGATTTTGAACCGTCGGAGAAACGTATTCAAACTCATTTGTCAACTTTGTCACAAGATTGATCTGCGTACTATTTTATCGTCACCGAATTCATCAGACAAGACTTGTCTAGATATGGTTGCATGTTTGAATAGTGAGCAAAAACTCAACCTCAAAACTCAGGCAGCAGGTGCAGCTCTACAAATGCAACTCGAATTGCAGTGGTTTCAGGTAATATTTTTATTGGAAAAGCTATCATCAAGTTCTAATTTTCTCACTTAAAGATAGATAAGTGGTATAAATTTTATTTAATCACGACCAGTAAATCTTGCTTTTTAAATCTTTTCCATTAAGTTTTAAATCACTTAATCTTCTATTTATGTTCCAGCTAAAAGATGTAAAATTTTGTAATTATTAAAGTATCAAAAAATTGATTTATAATATAATTTTTATATATCCTAATAACTTTTCATTAGGAATGATTATTGCATTATGAGTTTAAATAATAACTAGTTTAATATAAACCTAATCAAAAAAAAAAATATTGTGTAGAATTCACTGTTATTGTAATATAGAAAAAATTACATATTTTTTAAAAAGTCAATAAAAATTCTATCTTTTATTTTTTATTTAAATTTTAATATATAGTTTTGTAAGGGAATAAATGAAAGCTTGATTCAAAATTTTATATCTAATTTAGCAGGGGTATAAATGGAAGATTAACTAATTTAGAACTTAAATGAAAGAAAAAATTACAAGTAAAACTTATTCCAAAAGCAAATTTATTAGACTTATTTATCTTTTAATGAAAAAAGAAAGACTTGGTGATAATTTTCTAATTTTTATTCTTATCAACAATATTTTTGTAATTTTTATTTTTATTTTTTTTGAATGGTAAAAGCAAACATATACACTTTATTATTTGTTATTGAGTAGTATATGATTGGATTATATTTATAAAGTTGGTATACAGATAATTTCCTCACAACTTTGTGATCCACACCCGAAATGCACCTTTGTATGTGTTCCCTACACGCAGAAGGTAGATAAATTTAGTTTCACTTTTACCAAAAAGAAGAAACATAAATTTCTTTTTATTTTTCTGTGATTTTGGTCACAATATAGAAGAATTCTAAAAAAAATTCGCACTATCCCATATTTTGAACTGATTAAATTTGCTTTCTAAGTGAAAACCATATTCAATTTGATGAAGGAAGTAAAAAAATTATCAATTTTATATGGGAGCAAGCGGGCAGGCAAGTCACATGAAATGATATTTTCTGAGACACACGAGGACTTGCTGAAAGAAGGAGAGAAATGGCTAAAAGCAAAGGCTAACTCATGCACAATTGTAGCAACTCTAATTGTCACCATAGTATTTGCTGCTGCCATTACAGTGCCAGGTGGAAATGATAGCAATAGCGGTCATCCAATTTTCTCTAGAAATAAAGCATTCATACTCTTTATTATATCTGATGCGCTTGCTCTATATTCATCTACTTCCTCTCTATTGCTATTTTTGTCGATTCTCACTTCACGTTATGCTGAAATTGATTTTCTCCATACCTTGCCAAAAAGATTAATTTTTGGGCTCGTAACACTACTCTTTTCCATAGTATCTATGATGACAGCATTTGGAGCCACACTCTTTGTTGTTTTTGGACACAAAAAAGCATGGATTCTTGGTCCTATAAGCGTATTTTCTATCGTACCCGTGATTTCGTTTGTGTCCTCACAATTTCCTCTACTTCGGGATATGATCAAATCTACCTATGGTGGTGGCATTTTTGGCAAACTAAATGATGGTTTGCTCTTCTCCTAGATCAAGTAGACAGAGGAAATAGTTTATTTTTATCTCATTTATTAGTATATATGCATAATAAGGTCCTGTTGTCATAACATTGTTGTAGACAATCGTTGAATATTTGATTTGGCATTTCTTGTATACTATAACAATCGTGGAATATGACAAGGATTTAAGACTATTTGATTTGGCATTTCTTGTATACTTTCATTCTTGGCATAATATCTAGTTGTTGGGCAATCTGGATTGTTTGGGAAAGAACACCCAAGATAAGTAAATATGGGGACAATGGATCCCCTTGCCTACCTAGAAGGTTTTAAAAAAACCCACTGGGCCTCCATTTAGCATCACAAAGATGAAACCGATGAAATGCATGCATACATTAATTTTATCCAGTGTGGATGCATGAAAACCCAACTTCACCATTATAGCATACAAAACGGGCCATTCAATTTTATCATAAGCCTTACTTATATTCAGTTTTAAGGCCAAAAAAGCTCTCATTTCCTTTTATTTTTAAGATAGTGAAGTAATTCGTGCGTGACCAAAATATTATCCTGAATTTGTGGACAAAAAAGGCACTTTGAGAGGCACTAACTATTTTCTTATTCACGTAACTGCCTTTACGATTATATAATATAATGAAAGGAGTTTGCTTATTGACAAACTGTTCAAAAATGAGAACGTAGGTTCTCTAATTTATCTTGCATGCCCATTTTTCTTCTGTTTTTTTTTTTTTCAAAATTGAAGTACCAAACATATCCAACTATTCATTTTGGCGAGTGTGGTGGTAGAAATAGATAGAGATGGCAAACTACATCGTTCTATTTAAACAGTTATGGGAGTGATTAAATGGTTTTGGAGTAGGGATAGAGGTTAGAATTGAAAATTCGCATGGTTATGGGACGAAGATGGGAAAGGTCACCTCGCCCCGCCCCGTTTATAATTATAAATTACAATTTTATTTTTATATTTTATTTTATATTCAATAATATTAGATATATATTAAGCAAAACCTAGTTTTTATATTCAAATCACTAAATATTCTTTTGTATTTTTCTTATTTGAGAAAATTTATGTTTTATTTTTGTTAGGCGCTGAATGTTATACATTTTAGTCCCTTTACTTGCATGTTTTATTATCTTAATAGTAATTTATTTGAGATTTTATATTGTTTTATTGTTTTTATTTATTTTAGGGCTTTCTCAGTCAAGACCAGTGATTATGAGCTTTAAAAGATGACATTTCATGGGACTGAACAATGTTAAAGATTCAAGTCTAATTATACTTAGAAAATAGTCCAAAAGAAGCCATAAATTGATGAGAATGGAAAGAAGAAGAAAATGAAAAATCCTTCTCCAAAAAGAAAACTTTCGCCAAAGTTGGTAACTTGAACCCGTTTTAGTAATCTGGTTGTATCTTTCTCCTTGAGTATCAAAACAGCTAAATTCTCGCGAAGGTTGAAAGGAAATTCAAAGAGTTACAATTTTGTATTTCATGAGATTCCCTAAAACAGCTGTTTACCTTGTCAAAATTGGCCCTAGAAGTCTGTATGAATTTTGGAGTCCTTATTTGACAGAATTTCTATGTATGTCTTTTATATAGAAAAGGGAACTTTAGAACTGATCTTTTATTATTTAAAGGGAATCTTCTACAACATTGAAGGATCATACAGAGAAGCTTGAGGCTGAGATCAGAGGAGAAGCATTCAGAAGCAAGGAAGGGATCAATCCATGGCGGTGAAGATGTCTTCCTCAAGCATGAAGAATTCCACTCCAGTCATGCTTGGCTAAATGTTTTGCTAGTGTTGTGATGTAGCCCTAGCTTAGCACACTGGTTTAATTGTATTTAATTATTGGAGAAATAATTTTCATGATTGTGTAATCTATAGGATTTTTAATTGACTTTTCAATAAGAATCGGTTTTAGAGTTTTAATTCAATTATAAATATTTTGATATCTTGTCTTAGATATTTTAATCTTGTAATTGAACATAACTCATTCACTTCTTGTAGTTGTGAATGAGATAATTACATAATAATATTTCTCTGAATATAATGTTAGAGATTTGATGGATTATGCCTAGAAAAAATAGACCATGCTACGCCCTAGAGTAAAGTAGATAGGTAGATGGTTTATACCAATCGAAGATAGTCCATGCTTAACTTTAAATTATATTATTTTCTAGCTGAATTAATATGTGCTTGTAGTTATGATTAATTCCCTGTACATGTTATATGAAATATCTCCAATAAATTGATGCAATTGACTAGTGATGCGATGTTAGTGGTAAAATCATACCCCTAGTTCTCTCTCTCTCTCTATTTACTACATCCTATTTAATCATTATTCTTTAGTTTATTTTATTTTTTTTCGATTTAGTTAATTTAGAATTAATCATCACAATTCGATTATCCTATTTTCAAGTTAATTTGGAATTTGAGAAATCTGTTGACAAACTTATTTTACACAAATCTCTTGGGTACGACACCCTTACAAGTAAGCCCTATCTGCAAAGATTCGTACACTTGCGAGTGGTACATATAAATCTCACAACAATTTTTACGTTTCAACAATAATTTTAGTTAAGTTTCAATTGAGAAATTAAATCTTGTTTTAATTTTGTTTTTATTTGCATAGAAGAAAAAAAAAATTAACATAATTAAAAATTTATTTTATTATTTACTTTAGTCAAATATATATTACAATTACAGAAGTACTTTACAAAATTCACCCGCCCCATCTTACAAGGGGGAGGATTTTAGTTGGGCTTTGAATCCTATTCCTACTTCTTTATCTGTTCATGCTCGTCCTCACACGCAAACATATCCAACTATTCATTTTGAGGTGTGGGGTGGTAGAATGAGATAGGGATGGCAAACTACATCCTTCTATTTAGAACTGTTATGGGAATGATCAAATGATTTTGAAGTGGAGATGGAGGTTGGAATTAAAAATTTGCATAGTTATGAGACGGGGATGGGGAAAGGTCACATCGTTCCACCCCACTTCATTTATAGTGATAAATTATAATTATATCCTTATACTTTATTTTATATTCAATAATATTAGATATATATTAAGCAAATCTTAGTTTATTCTATTCCAATCACTAAATATTATTTTGCATTATTTTTATCTGAGAACATTTATGTTTTATTTTGACGTTTCAACAATAATTTTTGTTGGCCTAAGGATTTTATCTAAAGGTCAATCTTATGTTTTGATGATTACAAACCATTAATGATATTTAAGTACTAATGTTTTAATTGAGTGATATATAGTTGATCAACATTCAATCCTCAATGATGAGCTAGAAGATCCATTCCAAGCATTCCAAACATTCAAGCAATGGATTCAAGGAAGCATCAAAGTTGCAAGAAATCAAAGAAAAACTTGGACTTCAAATATCACACAAAGCATTTCAAAGAAAGAAAGCAAGTCTTCATCAAGCCTAAACGATCATGGTCAAAGAATGAAGAAAAGGGTAGATAGGATGGTGAGAGCTTAAGATTCAATGTCAAAGTATATTTGAATATTTTTTGAAGCTCAAAATTATAGGACCATGCATATCATATATCATTCATATGCTCCTATGACCATTAGCAACAGACTAGGAACTTCATTTATATATATTGTCATATGAAATCTTTGCTAAGAAAGAGTTAGTTCAAGTTTGATAAGCTTTGAAAGAACTCATTTTTTAAGCTAGAAATTCTAGGACCATGCACATTAATCATTATATTTATTTTGGTCTCTAAAAAGAAAAGGAAAAGACATTAAATTAATTTTTCATCTTTAAAGCTTTTGTTGCCAAAATTTGGTAAATAACTCTAGGACACAATGCACTTGAAATTTATCATCTTTATATATCCCTAGACTCTTAGAAACAAGCCTTGAACTTAATTGAATCATTCATCAAAGTCCTAGGTGCTAGGAAGATGGATATCTCAAAAGAAGCTATTTTCAGCCTAGAAAATTTCAGACCAGCTTGTACTAAAACTGCTATAACTATTTGTGTAGTTGGAATTTTTACACAAGGCCAGTGGCATTGGAAAGCTGACTTCGAGCCCTTGAGTTTAGACTCAAATTTCACCTAAATTGGATTTAAAATGACTGAGATACGAGCTTCACAAAATACCTGATTCTGCTCTGCGAAAATTCTGACCAGGTTGCACTTAAACAGCCATAACTTTTTCTATGGTTGGAATTTTTAAGCAAGGCCAGTGGCTTTAGATAGCTGACTTCAAGACAATAAATTTAGACTCAAATTTCACCTCATTTGGAGTTTCATGGACTGAGTTATGTCCATTTGAAGTCATGCACTTTTTTCTATCCAATTTAGCAGCAGCCTTCATGAAGCAAGAGCAGCCTCTATAAGAAATAGAGCCAGCTCTCTCAAAGACTAGAGAAGGCTCTACAAAATTAGAGACGGCTCGAGAAAGTAGAGAAGGCTCAATGAAAAACTAGAGAGGGCTCTACCAAAATTAGAGAAGGCTCAGGAAAGTAGAGAAGGCTCTACAAAACTAGAGAAGGCTCCATTTTTCTATTGAGCCGTCTCCATTTCAGAAAAAGAGCCTACTCCACTTTTTTAATGGAGCCGCCTCCATTTGAAATTGAGCCGCCTCCACTTTTGCAAAGAGCCTGCTCCTTTGAGGGTTTTGAATTACAACGGCAATTTTTCTGCATTTATTTCCTTTAACCACTTCTAACAGCTATATTGAACTATGAATTTCTTTATATATACAGAGGGCTTGTCTGAAAAGTACACACCATTTTAAGAGACATTAAATTACATTGCAATCAGAGCTTTTGTTCTCAATCTTCTCTTCATCTCTCTCATTTCACTTTTATTCTATCTTGAGAGATTCCAGTAAAGATTAACAGGGCTTTTGCTCTTGTTTTAATCTTCAAAGAGTTTTTGCTCTATTATACTACTTGAGAGAGCATTCAAGAACATTCATTCAAGTGCATCAAAGAGAGCTTTTGGCTCTACCTTTATACAGAGCTTTTGTTCTGGTTTTACTCACTCATAGAGCCTCTCTTTAGACATCAATCTTCATCTCATATAGAAGCTTCCATAGCTGAACCAGAGTGAACTTCAGAGAGCATTTAGTGAGCCTTTGCTGAACTTTTGTTCTAGTATTTCATCAGAACTTTTGTTCTGCATTTTCCTCATCATCTCTCATA